ACCGGATGGATGTAATGAATCTTACAGTATTAATGGTTAGGTCCCATCGACGGAAAGCAATTCTCCTGTCAAATTCGTATGATTTCAATTTATTTTTCGAACAAATCGCCGAGATGGTGGGGTGAATTCCGATGACCCAGTACCAAGTCACATGGTAATCACGTGACAATACCCAGTTTGGCGTGGTGCAATCCTCGTCAGATCACCGCGACTGGTTTATACCTATTTTCTCCACTTCAAATCCCTCGTCTCAATCCTCGAGTGTTCCCTTGAATACTATACACTCACTTCGTATATAGGTCCTTGTCCCAGGGTCTGTAGAAAGACTATCAGTTTGGGTCGGGAACGATTTCCATCGTCTCCCATCATCCGTATCATCTTTGACACCCTGTTGGGAAAGTTTTCCGGAGATTGATCCCGCTTCAATAGATTAGGAATAAGACACAGGTGTCTGTGTCATTGTCTTGCATCGAAGGAGTACCTCTTTCATATCACACAGTTAAGATTGACGTGTATTCTTTCTCTAGGCACAACGTGCATTTATCTCGTGGCTTATTCGCCGCGGAGTAGAGGACGTTTCGTTATGCATCTCATATATCGTCTCATTTTGCATTGCAGTATAAAGAGCTCGCCTTTTATGCCTTCGATGTGTACATGCTTTCTTTGATTATACATGCTACTTTCATACTTTCACCAAGTGGATAATTTTACGGTTTCTGTCATCGTAAAGTTTGGTGACAATGTTGTTGGGAAGTGCCAAATTACCATTTCTGTACTCTTATTGATTTCATATGACTGAGGACATTGTACCTACCCCACGATGATGCTAGTAATCTATTCATCTCAAAGAATGACAGAGGATCTACCCATGATGATTGAAGAACTTCTATCGAGATAGTGTGGCACAAAAGTGAGTTTCTATTCTATTCTACGAACTTGGCGCTGGCAGGATATACTTGCGTTTATGTATATTCATTCGTTTAATTTCTATCTCTAAGTATGTATTCTAGCCCTGCCAATAGTTCATCCTGTTATGCCCCAGAAATATTGAAAGGTTGAAGCTCATCACTTTTTTTCTATGGGGAAATAGCTTTGAAACTATGTCGTGTGCTTGTGGGAGGGATAGGTGTGTATAGACTTGTTGATGACGATTTACAAGTTAGATGATAAGACATCATATTCGTTTTCACGTCAATCATCGTGGCAGTTTGTCCCTCCGTGTGTCTCAAGTTTCGTGTTTTCATCCGAAACTCTATCTTTGGCTTGGTCATTTCTTTCAGTCATCCTTCGAGCCTCTGGTATCGTCTAAGTACGAGCGCATTGTTATGATATAGACCATGGAGCTCAAAATCTAGATATCAGTCTTCTCGCTCCCGTTGTCTCCCTAAGAGGATGATGAAGCAAGATTTCAGGTTAATGTTGGTAGTCCCAATGGTTTCATTGATATCGCCTTTCAACTGCTCAGGGCTATGGACGTCGGGTATTAATGGAAATATCGGGATGGAAACCGCTAAATGCAGTTCGATGGAAGCTTAGGTCTTGAGTTTTTAATATGAAAGCAATAGCCTTGAACAGAATCTATTCTACTTCATCAAATTAGACGCCATTGTGTACTTGGTCTTCCAAGTTGTTGGAATCTGCTAATCTCAATACTTTCTCAACTCCAGATATTTTCCTGTGGAGACAGAGATTTCATCTCAAGCGATCCATGTGTGTTGGATAGGATGATCACTCAGGGAGAAATTTGTAAGTGGATTATTCGAATAACGAATCGGACGTTGGAGATGTGTGAATAAGAACCAGTTAAGGGGGAAGGAGGACAAAGATGAAGAATGATTCTTATTTCGAATTTCCAAACTTATAATGCGTGTTTTTAATATCTCACGGTGGTACTTATAATCATCACATATATGATACCAACTATATGTATCTCTTCCAAGCGTGTATGAAACATCTGTATCTAGGTACCCTTTCCGAAGCTTAATCCCACCATCTACACATACTAGGTTCCTCACATCCCATCTCCCTCCATCACATGGTAAGATCATCATCATACAAAGTTCAAACCATCACACCCTCGATCTCACCTCATAACCCTGACCTACACATTCCTCCATAATATCCAGATCCCAGCATCCGCATCTAACCACCGTATGGCATGTTACTGAAGATTCATAATGAACATACCCTCAGTCTTTCTACAATTCCCAGATTCTTCGGATGCTTATCTCCTTGATGTTCACGCAGAATACAGCAAGAACCACATACATAATTCCTTTCTTTCAAACCAAATCATATGATATCATATCTCAATCCATCCATCAAGACTCCAGTACATAACACAACACCAGCTCAAATACACAGTCCAGCCTCCATCACCCCATTCACTTATCCTCCATTCCCAGATCCGACATGCTTCCTGGAATATAGGATTCGAACACACGAATTAAAATTTGAAAATCAGATAATCGATGGAATGAAATGGGATAGAAGGCCTTTTGCAAATATTCCCTCGATTGTCGCTACCTAGATATGTAAATTAAAGTATGTTTGTAGACCCCCCTCACCCCCCTTCCCCCTTTTGTATAAGCTCTCTAAATCCTCACATAGATACCTACCTACCTAGGTAGTGCGAGATAGGTTACTCACTATCCCCAGACAGCATAACTCATCTATCCATATACCTGGGTGTCATCCGATGGATGGATGGATGGATGGACGGAAAGATTTTCTTCAAGCGCATTGTCCTAGGGTACTGTAGGGTAAGAGATTTTCCGCTCAAATGTACTGGTATGTCGTCCATCGTAATCCAATCCATCTCTAGGGTTCTGGTCTCTATTACTTTTCGTGCAATGGTTTCGGTACTCTGCCATTACTTTTGTTGATAAGACCCCCGATGTAGAGGTATGAAAATGCGTATAAGCTAGGTCTTTTGGCGAGAAATATAGGATACATGCAAAAACATACACGACGTCACATATTCTTTTGCATCGATTGAAGCACATTTATTTATTGTTGGAAACTGCGTCTTCATCAAGTCATGTTTGCCTGCCATGACTATGTGGTGTGTATCTATTCATTTTCTCATGTAAGATGTAAAACGAAAGTCCGTCGAATCAACCAATTGCGCATCAAGGGAATCTGCTAAGTACTAATTGCAATGTCGTTTATTGAGGAGCACCGCGTCCAGCACCTGCACCTCTTCCTGCTCCACCTAAGTTCCTAGCCCTGTTGATGTTGTTAGAGATGAATCAGAAAGGGTGGGAATACAAGAAGAAAACACTTACATCTCAGCAATAGAAGGGTCGTTCATCAAACTTGAAAGATCGGGCATTCCACCTCCATTACTTCCAGCACCACCACCTCCACCAGCACCAAATTGATTGGCCATCTCGCGTATTCTAGGGTTGCTCATGAGATTGTTCAAAGCATCTGGGTTACTCATGAGGTTCTGAGCCATGCTTGCAAACATTGGATTGCTCATGATGGAGCTCAAATCTGGCATTCCACCTCCACCACCTCCAGCTCCACCACCGAACATACCCGCCAAACTAGCCAAATCTGGCATTCCACCTGCACCAGCACCGGGCGTGCCTCTCTCAGCAACCTCATCATCTTCTCCCGCAGCATCTAATTCCTGCACTCTCTTCTTCGCAGTCTCAAATCCCTTCTTCATCGCATCCGATCCTCCATTTCCTTCATACTCAATACCCTGCTCATAAGCCTCCATTGCACCCCTTGCGTCCCCCAATGCGAACTTTGCAAGTCCCAATCTCGACCACGCCTTAGTATATTTGGGGTCCGCATCAACCGCAGCCTCCGCATCAGCCTTTGCAGATTCGTGATCCTTTGACGCTGAATAGGCAGCCGCACGATTGCTTAAGAAGATTGGGTTGCCGGGGATAACAGCCAAAGCTTGCGAATACAAATCGATTGCCTTTTTATAATCCTTCTTAGCCATAGCTGCATTTCCTTGACTCTTCAAACCCTCTGCTTCTTTCTTTTCATCTGCGGTTGGTTCTTTGCCAGTGGGCTTCTCATCGGCGGGTTTGGGAGGAGCGGCGGCGGCTTGGGATTTTCTCAGACTCTCATAGACACTGTAGATTTGGAGGAGGTTTTGGGTATCTTTGGGAGTGCCATCTGTAGGGTCAACTTTGAATGATTCGGAAATGCAGTTCTGGGCGATTTCGATGGATTCGCGCTCTTCTTCGTTAAGGGTGCCGTCGGTGAGGGAGGTGGAGAGGAAATCAATGATGGAGAGGGCGAGACGTTGTTTGGTGGTCGCCATAGTGGGCAAACTGGAGTTACTTTTGGTTCGAAAACAAAGTTAGGAACAAGTTGATTCAGATATGCGTTTACAGGAATAAGTCTGTAGTTATCGATACGAACTTGTAAGAATTACGTGTTTATTGTTCGAGGCTTTGAGTCGATTTATATTACTATCAATGGAAGGTTCTGGTGATGGATCAATTTGGATGGTGGGGTAGCAGCTACTACGGTGAGTATACGAACCTAATATGCATTTGTTTTGTCTCTTCTGAATTAACATGCAATTGTAAATATCAAACGCTCCATCAACAATGCTACCAAATAAAATTCATTTCATATATTTATCAATCTCCAGATCACTTTGTTACATACTCATTGATGTCGTTATCTCAACTCTGATCTAATATACGAAAAGTGCCTGCTTCAAAGTTCTCTTCCGTTCTCCTCCAATGAGACTTTGAACCTGCTCAAGATTCAAAACGACAATGTTGAGTGGCATTGTTTGTGAAATCATTGCCTTGCAAGTTTTTTCACAGCTCTAAGTACTTCTTTGAAAGAAGGGTTGGGAACTAAGATCAAAAGAACATTTATAGTCTTCCTAAATCTGTTATAGTGATACAATTACAAAGCCTCTACACACAAACCAGACAAATCTAAGGCAAAGATTGTCTAGAGAACACCTCATCGTTACAATGATCCTGGTGCCCTACCAAACTTTTAATTGCTTCCGTTTATGATTTCTGGATAACCTCCAAGACAATCTCATCCACCGTCATGCCAGATAAAAGCCTCAAAACAGGTATATCAACCCCCAGCTCGGTCATCGTCCACGCCCGGATGTCAACGGCAACCAACGAATCCACCCCAAGGTCGATCAGAGCTGCATGCTCTGCAACAGGCTGATCAGATGGGAGATGGAGACATGTTCGGATCTTGGTGGTGACACCATCTAGAAAAGAATCAGTACAATTGCTAATCAGAAGAAACGGTGCCCACTTACCCCTGACGATTACTTCTGCTTCATCAGTAGATTTAGATTCTGATAATTGAATTCGAATCGAGGCATTGCCTGCTTTCTTTTCAACTCGATCATCCTGGTGCAACGGTTTCTGCTCCCAGTAGCGCGAGAACCGAATATTCTTCATCCAAGCCGCATTCTCCGCTTTATCAGTTGAGATTTTGGGAATTCCCGCTGTGACAACAGGCATGGAGTTGCACGGCAGTCGACCAGCCAAAATCCCTTCAGCAAATAAGGCGTGTAGCTGTCGCTCGCCCATGGGCAGACAGTATGCATCCAATCGTTCCATTTCCTGTGCCGAGTATGTTGATCGTTGTCGCTTCACATATCCAACATCTGTCATGCGGGAGATCTGGATCACTGAGCCAGCCAGCTTGCGCTGCCGCCGGCCCACGATCAGTGCCTCAGATGCTACATTAGCGGCAGTGTAGGCACTTTGCCCGAGATTACCTAGTGTGGCTAGAATTGAAGAGAAGGCGATGAAAAATAGCAAGGGTTGGTCGCCAACCAGATCATCTAGGTTCTGTAGACCCCGTACCTTGGGCTCGACGACCTGACTGAATTCTTCCGCAGTTGTTTTTTGGAAGAAATTCTCGCGCATCACCATTGCACCGCTGGCAATGCCATTGAGAGGGGGATGTTCGTTTGTGATGACGGTGTGTATCTCTTTCAAAGAGGCCAAACTGGTAACATCACTGGTACAGTTAGCTCTTGTGTCAAATACTAGAAGGAAGCAGGGAAATTAGTTACTTACCCTGCTAGAGGAACAATGTTGACTCCATCATTCCGATGTTTGTGGACCCAGTCAGTGGGCATGCGAACTTGTCGACTGGTAAGAACAATTGTTCGAGCACCGTGCAATACCATCCAGTCGCAAAGAGACTGTCCCAGATCTCCCGTCAATCCAACAAGCCAGTATGTCCGATCGGGGCGCAGAATATGCTGTGATATATCTATCGATTGATAATCAGCAAGTAGTGGGGTCGGGCACGACCAATTTACGATCGGGACGCTAGAAAACTCCTTGGGCTTGCGGTTGAGTAGCTCTGCGATGCTATACTCCGGAAGTTGGACGGTAAGATCTGATTCGATATACTTTCGAACAGCGTCATGAGCACTTGTAAGCAGCTCAGTCATGTCTTGTATTGGCTGAAGGGAAGGAATTGAAGATGTAGCCGTAATCGCCGAAGGAAACGTGAATTGCTGGCAATGGAGGGGCAGAGAGTCTAGCACTTTAGCCGCAGCATCCTTTTCTGAGAGATTAATGAAAGTGTCAATTCCTTTGGGCAGAGTTGATGTAATGAGTCGTTTTGGAGCCTGTGGATTACAGTATTGCCATAACGCTGTGGCCAAATCCTTCGTTCCAGTCACATAGTGTACTTGAAATTGTTTTGCATGCAAGTGGTATGACCAAAACTTTTCATAGGTCGCTGCAGCAGAGTCACCGGCATAAAGTAAAACACGATTTCTGGGGGGAATTCTATCGACAATGGACTTAATCAACAGGTGGGTAGCCAGAAGATCCAGGTATTGTGGGTGGGTGGAGGTCTCAAGATCAACAGGAATTGAAAGAGATATCGGGGCAGTTAGGATAGATGACAAGGTGTCAGAAGCGGCGACAATCACTTCTCCCGAAGAGATATCTACGCCCTGGTTAAGATAAACTGGAAAATTATGGGGAGGTATGGCTGCTAGTGCTGAGCGTGTCGTGCGAATGACACGAGAACTGCGTTGATAGGAGTGAAGGGGACCTTTCGCAACCATCATAAAGTCATTATTCTCCCACTTCAACTCAGTCTCATCTTCATCCACATGAACCGGAGTGGTGATCTTCCTCCTCCAGCTGTTCAACCGGTAGTTGGCCTTTTTCAGGGGTTGTAGACGTGGAACCAGGACCCGACTCATTGCATCAATAACCATCTCAGGTTCCATGGTCCAGAGTTCATCGTCATCGCGACCTTTCGCCAAACGTAGAAGATTATTTGCAATTAATGATGCCACCATGTCAGGTTTTGCTTCGTGACTCAGGTCAATCATCTGCAGACGCAAATGAGGCATTTCATGTAACAAAGAACGAGCCAAACCGGTGGACAGCCCAGATGATGCATTTCCACTTAAGTAATCATCCGTGACCCAAAGCATATGTAGAGCCGTTCCCAAAAGGTTTTGAAGCCCTCGCCATGCCTCTTCAGATGGTTGAATCTCCAGATGAGCCAAATTAAGTACGGTAGCTTTGGTTGGCAAAGGCATGCCATCCACTTCAGCCAGGGAATTAAAATGAGTAATGCGGCTCGCATGAGGAGCCAATAATTCCTTCAGGAGTTGCATGGTATCACGGGATGGAAAGTTGAGATCGGTGACAATGATCAAATCCTCCAGTACTGGCTCGCTTGATAAGAGTGGCTCACGGAGCAATTGAACCCGATCGTCAACTGCTTGAGAAACCATGACACTGATAGGCCATGTGATAGGATCCTTGAGCGGAGTGTGTGTGTCAACGCCGGAGAAGCCGGTGGTGGCTAGGGCCTCCTGCCATGCCTCCAGCGAGACGGTTGGTGAATATCGACGTCCCTCCTCTCGACCTGCCCACCAGCCGGTAAATCCTCCGAAAATCAAGCCCAAAGCCATTGGTCCATCTCCTAGGACCTCGGCAAGTACCAGAAAGCCGCCAGGTTTCAATAAGCGTCGGACTCGCCTTAAAGCATCACTAAGAGATGATGCCACATGCAGAACGGCGTATGCAACTACCAAGTCATAGGTACCTTCAATGAACCCTTGATCCATGGGATCTTGGTCGAGGTCGAAGGTCTTAAAATCCATAAGATCGGCGTACTTGGAGAATTGCTGTGCGGACTTCTCGAAGAAACCAACTGACACATCAGTGAATGTGTAGCGAGCAAGAGACGACCCTAATGCTGGTAGCACTGATCTTGTAGCACAACCGGTGCCCGCTCCAATCTCAAGTACATTCAAACCTCGATGGCGATGCGAGATCTGGGAGATAATTTCCCCTAGAGGTTCCTCAGCTGGGGCGCAGACCATGCTATTCTGGTACCAGTCGCTTAAAGCATCATCCGCCATGAAGCTTTGTAGCATTGTGGTATCTTTCCTGATGACTGGAGGAAGAACCTCGAACGCCATCTTGATCAATCGGAAATCAATATCTTCATCGGAGTATTGGCAACAAATCTGCTCAATCTCTTTTTCTGTGTCAGATAACCAAGATGGTGACGCATAAGGATGTTTTCCTACACGCACAGTTTCTTCAAGCCAATAGCAGTAGTCCAGGAAGGCGCCATGATGAGGTTCAATTTCGATTGTTCGGATCCTCTCGCCTGTCTTCTGATCGATAAATTTGTGGCCGATCTGTCGAAGATAATACAATGAAACTCTCTCCCATTCGAGAGTCTTTGTTAGAGTCTCAGGGGAAGCCCGGCGAGTTCCCAGCGCTAGTTCGCCGTTAGGCTCAGAAACTCCCCAAACTGTTTCTGAAAAGAGCACTAGGTCATTGTTCTCGGTAGCAGGCGACACAGGCATGGTGTTAAGTCCTTCCATCTGGATAATTCCTTGCCCAGAGGAGTTGAAAAGAGTGACATCCCCGCAAATACCGCTACTGTCGGCCTTGCGCAAAAAGCTGTCCACGCTGAATGTCCCTTCACGCCCCAGGCAGGAGAGAGAAAAGTCCAGGGTCACCTGATCAACAGATACTGGCATGTAAAGATTCCACATACTCCCATCGTGATGATCTGTAAAGGCAGAGAACAGAACCTGAATGGCATTGTCTAGTAAGGCTGGGTGAAGAACGTATTCATTGTCCGCCATATGATCCCAGTCAATCTCCGCGATCGATTGTCCCAGAGATCGACGAAGCCCGCGAACGCGTTGAAACAATTCTGTATATTCGTAGCCCAACTTGGCTAGATGGTCATATGCTTTGGTATGGTCAAGGTCCGTCATGGTAGAGGAGAAAGGAGCTCTACCAGGCAAGAGATCATCGACCGGGGAGCCCATCTCGAGCATAATGTCCATAGTGGCAGCAGTAGAAAATTTCCCGTCATCTTCCGTAGGAGGAATGTCAACACTCAACTTCGCCTGTATGACAGACTCCTCGTTCTGCGACATAATCATGGTGACAGTGATGTTGGCCCCTGAGGCTTCATCAATGCGAAGGGCTTTAAGAAACTTGACGTCCTTCAGAGTAATAATCTGAATGGATTGCCCGGTGGCAAACTGTCTACAAGCCTCCAAGGCCAATGCAATATAGCCCGTGGCAGGAAAAATGATTTGACCTTCTAGTGTATGACCACTGAGCCAGCTCAATTGGTCAACTCTCAGATCATTAGACCAACGATACGTTGTGCCAATGTCACCATCGCCAACCTTGTATCCTAGTAGACTATTGACACGTTTTTGAGACGTTTGCTGATTCCAAATGCCCTTCGTCGAGCTGATTGAAGGTGGTGGCAGCCAGAAGCTATTTCGATGGTCCCAGGGATAAGTTGGGAGGCCAACGAGTGATAGCTTTGTATTTTCTAAAGCTTCAAAGTGTGGAACTCTTGCACTTCCCAAATGTACCCACAAGTCCCCGACACATTCCGAAAATGCCACTAGATCAGTCTTGGCTCGGTTGAGAGTGCTAGAGTATGGAGGGGGATTTTTCCGCACAGTTGTTATCGTCTGCATGGCGGGACCCTTCAAAGCGGGATGAGGACCAACTTCTAGACAGAAGTTGATATCAGGTTGGAGGGATACCGCGTTCCGAATGGCATGATGGAACATTACTGGATTCACCAAGTTATCAACCCAGTAGGACGCTCCCAATTTGTCCGACCCTACAGAAGAAATTGATTCTCCTGATTGGACACTTGAGTACCAACAGGGGGCATCGCTCGAAGGGTTCAATACTCCAATTTGACATTCTTCAAGCGAAGCCTGATATGCCGAGGAGCATTTTGACATATGATGTGAGTGATATGCGGTTTCAACATTGAGCATTCGGTTGAAGATCTTGCGGCTCGCTAGCTGGGCTTGAGCCTCCTCTATGGCATCTGCATCACCGGAGAGAGTTACACTAGATGCAGAATTTATAGCCGCAAGGGATAACCTGCCCTGGAATTCGGTAGCTACCAACAATTCCTCTGCTTCATCCTGGGACAGTCCTGCGGCCAACATCCGACCCTCCTGATTAGATGATGATATGAATCGGGCTACATGTAGACCTCGATAAAACGCGATTCGGATAGCGTCAGCTGAGCGCAAAAAGCCGGCGAAATATGCTGCGGCAATTTCTCCAGATGAATGGCCAACGACTGCAGAGAATGAGATACCACAAAATTCCTGTAAAAGATGACCAAACATTAGTTGGATGGCTGTGCAGGCTGGCTGGCAAATCTCAGGAGAATTAATTCGTGATTCCTCAGGTGGCCGCTCCAACTCTCCTCGAAGACTCCATGTCGGGCGATCTCCTTCCGGAAGTGATTGCAAAGCCTCGTCTAAATCATCAAGGAAGACAATTAGGCTAGGATGAGCAGCCAAAAGCCCAACTCCCATTTGGGCCCATTGCGCACCCTGACCGGTGAAGATGCCAAGGATTTTTGATTCTTTCAGCGGGGATTGATATCCAATCACTCCTGGTTCCAGCGAATCCTTAAGAGCTTGTTGAAGAGCTGCGATCGAAGACGCGGGAAATCGAACACGAACTGGGAGAAGAGATCGACGGGATGCCAGCGTGGAAATCAGCTCGGTAGGATCAATGGATGGGTTTTCTTGTAGATATTTCTCATACTGTTTCAGCATCGAAATCAAAGATTGTTCTGAGGCAGCAGAAAACACATAAGGAAGGGAAGAACCACTTGTTGGTAGCGGAGATGTCTTTCGACATTCATTTTCAGCTCGTAGCGGAACAGACTCTAGGATGACATGGGCGTTGGTCCCTCCAAAACCAAAGCTATTGATGCTTACTCGACGGGGAGTATTGGATGCTATCGTGGGCCATGGCTGTACGCTAGTAGCCACGTTCATGTTGGTACAATATGGTGCGACCTTTTCATTCAATTGTTGAAATCCGAGATTTGGCGGAATAACGCCATGTTGTATGGCCAGAGATGCTTTCAATACTCCGGCTAGCCCGGCTGCTCCTTCTGTATGACCGATGACAGTTTTGATGCTGCCGACTAACATATGCGCCTCATCGGGCTGTGATGATGTGAGTGAGAAAGCCATGGCTAAAGCTTCAGCTTCCAAGGGATCCCCCGCTTGAGTGCCTGTACCGTGGGCCTCAATATATTGTGGTCGGTCGGAAGGTTTTGTGGGGTCTAACCCTGCTCGATGATAAACATCTCGAATGAGATTTGTCTGAGCAGATGCGCTTGGCAAGGTAATTCCACTAGTTCGTCCGTTATGGTTAACGCCAGTCTCTCGGATGACACATTGTATATTGTCACCATCTGCCAGAGCAAGTCGGAGCGGTTTTAATAGCATCGCGAGAATTCCTTCGCCCCTGGCATAGCCGTCGGCATTGGTATCCCACATTTTGCAGCTTCCTGTGGGGGAAAGCATTCCCATGTTGTTAAAACCGATAAATGGACGACCATCAAGGAGCAAATTGGCCCCTGCTGCCACAGCAAGAGTTGATGAGCCACTCCGCAACTGCTGTACTGCATGGTCTAAAGCTACCAGACTAGATGAGCAGGCAGTATCAACGGTAACTGAAGGCCCGTGCCAATCGAAGAAGTATGAAATTCGATTCGACGCCTTATTTGGGGCAGTACCGGTGATATGATATTTGGGGATGGCCATGTGATCTTGGCTGCTGAGTGAGAGATAGTCGTGAAACATCACTCCTGTATAGACCGCGGTATCAGAGCCGCGCAGTGTCTCCGCAGGAAGTCCTGCTTCCTCTAGAGCTTCATATACTGTCTCGAGCAATAGTCGGTGCTGGGGGTCCATTGCTTGTGCTTCCAATGGACTGAGACTGAAGAATGATGCATCAAATTCTCGCACATCTTGTGAGAGAAAATATCCTCGCGGCAAGGAATCATGGCGTGAGGAAGAAGTTCGATCTGGGGGGAACTCCTGAGAAACATCGTAAGGGGTTTGAAGAAGATTCCAAAGTTCGGAGGGAGATTGGCATCCTCCGGCTAGACGACAACCACTACCGATAATGGCAATGGGTTCATTCATACTGAATTGGAGAGATGTTGAAATCAATTGATCAGGACAAATGCGGGAATGTCCGTATATAAGGTATTTGATATGGTTGAAAATTGCCCAGTGAACTGGAACACACAGTATGGGATAATCCCATCTCAAGAACGACGTACGGTAAAACCCCGAATAGCATCATTTCATGTATTGATGCCTCGACAAGCATGTGACATGAGGAACTAGCATCATCGGCCCAAAATCCTATGCTAGTACTAAGCTTCAAGATACAATGAACAGCAGTAAACGCAGCCCACAATACCGGGGATCTAATTTCGATTGAAATCATATGAGATACCTAAAGCTGAAGCATCCCTAACAGATAGTATTTAGGATGATTGTGATTGACTCGCTTTTCTCCGACTATGTCGGTCGATGCATCGGAGGAATCCGATTTTGGATCGATTTGACCAATGAAATGTGCTTCTTTGATTAGCTAGTTCCCCTCTATACTGCAGGAGAAGGGGTTGGAAGGAGACGAACACGTACAACCCCTCCCTCCCGCTTTAGGCTATATTTCCTCATTAATTAAAATTTCAAGCTAGGTGAGGGCTACGTAGATCGCACTATAATTCAAATCGCTAAATCTCTATGCCAATAAATCTTGTACTTGATATACAACTTGCGAGTAATGTATAAGATCACAAACAAGGTTAAACAAATATTCACTAAGCTTGAAATAAACAGTCCAATAATCCCAAGTCTCGTTAAATTTTGATCGAGTGATCTGATTCATATAAAACTAATGATATTTCGGGTATCAATATATAAAATGATACTATTTGAGGTATTTGTTATATATTGTAAACTCAGCCGACAACAAACACATCATACATTAACATTAACCACTACAATCTACACTTCTACTCATTAAAAAAATTCTAACCAACATAGGTACCATCTGACTCGTGCCAGATACAAGTTCTGGCTGAATGCATGCAGCACCGACGCTATATTCACCAGACTACTCCTCTTGCAGTTCGCTATCTTGTGGTATTTGCATCTCATTTCGAAATTGTATACCCTCCTGGCCACGTGGGTACCCGTATGCCTGTCTGAAGAAACAGTATCAGAGATGCATCACATCGTGGGTGTACCGGATTGCGTGGCCACTGCATTGAACATCAAGATCCTTGAAGCAAATCCTTCAAACTCTCTCACATCAAGCTGGGGGCAGTCTGCAGAAAATTTGACACTTTGCGCACCATAGCGGGGTCACGGGAAATCTCATGTCCGCCATTTGTCTCCACGATGTGAGCATTGGCCGCAGTGCAGAACTTCGCCAGAATAGTGGAGTCACCCCTGTACATGTCTTTGGAGCCAATGACGTGCAAGGTCGGGATATTGATACAGCCCAAGGGACTCCATCGCAAAGGAGACCTCCCAAAGGGCCATAGTAGCTCCGTTTCTGAATCCCAGTTGCCCTTGATTAGTGGATGGTATGCAGCTCCAAAAACACTTGTAATGTCGTCCGTGGAGCACACCACTTTTGGCGTTTTTGATGCCCCTCCAAGTGATCGACACTTTCCATCATGTGATAGTGTGAATCCTGGGCTATCTAGATCCCAACATTGAATCGCGCAAAAAAACACGGCACATCGAAAGTCATCTCTGGGATGTTGGCGGGCGGAGTCGTGCAGAAGGTATGAGGCTGCAAGCGCAGCTCCTTGTGAGAATCCCAGAATGCCATCGAAGGGACCTTGCGTGTCGATGAAGTCTTCCAAGCGGTCAATCGCTGCCAATACGGTATCTGGAGAAGGAACAGTGAAATAGGAATAATATGGTCCCGGAAAGAACATTTCGACTCCTATTTGTGGCTGTCAGTTTTATGATACAAAGGGGACCTTTTTGGGGTTTCTGACCTGGCGCAGGCGGAGTCTCCATTTCTCCCTGAAAGAAGACAAATTCACGACCTGGAAGTTGACGCCTGATCATGAACAATTGGGCTTCGAGAATGGCCTTCCCAGTACCAATGCCGTGCAAACACAAGAATCGCATAGTTATCAGAAATGTTAATTTGGGTGTGTCTGAATGGTTTCGAGGACATTCAGTTTACGAAAGGCCTTTTTATATAGCCCGATGTCTCTTACTAAAGTATCTTTCTGGATAAATAGTGAGAAACTATGGTTGACACCTACGATGGTACATGTTTCGGGACCTGCTCTATGAATTCACAATTATACATAACATAAAATCTATGTAAAACTATATTTTGTCTTAGTTTTCATGGAGAATCATTTAATTGATTGATTGAAATGATACTTTCACTATGCACTACATCACACTAGCAATATTTGTTAAAGCTCAATGTAACGAGTTGAGCAAGCGAAATATCTTGTGTTATTCAAGTTCAAAATCACTTCCGTGTGTTGCAATGAGTATTCACCATAGAAGCCAATCGCTCTGGAAAAGTCTCATGAAATCTTCATGTGAATATCAACTTTCCATGGTCATATGGCAGTTTCAACTAGTATCAACCACGCGTGGCAAAGTCTACAACCTGCGGGATCTGCCTTAACTTGTTACTATCTCACTTGTAGATAATGTGTTACAGATATCACACCGCAAGTTAAGGACCTATCTAATTTTTAGCCGTATAATAGGAAATAGTGAAGCGATCTAGATCGGCAGATATAGAGCATGCAGCGCAGCCTAAGGGGGACACTTTTCAGCCAGCCACCCAATTTCTTTATTTATAGTCTCGGAATGCAGTAAAACCCATAGTCGATCTCAGTATCATCTCGAAGTTCTCTTTCCGTCTCTCTATCACTGAAACGAGAGCAAAATGGCCAAACTCGACTCAGAGTTCAACCCCCCTCAATTCAACTTTGTGCGCGAAGTTGTTGATCAATGGAGTCAACATCGTGGAGACTCTCCCGCATTGGTTCTAGTCACGCAGAAAAGGCGCAAAGATGTGTCTTATCGTGAGCTGAGTGAGCGCTCTATACAAGTTGCATCCGCGCTTTATGAGCTAGGGCTCCGACCAGGAGACATCATAGTGATCTCGGCAGCACGGTGTCGAGACTGGTATGAGATTCTATGTGCCTGTCTCCGCAGTGGAATTATCGTCTGCCCTGTTGCTAGTGGACTCTCTAGCGCAGATCTGGAACATCGAATCCACAAGGTTCACGCCAAAGCATTCGTCGGCGACCTTGTCCAGGTGGAAAAAGTGTTGCTTGTCAGATCTCGTCTCGCTACGCTACAGCACATGGTTCAGATTGGGTATGATGATAGGATCGCAGATGCGATCGACTACTCGGTCTTGATAGCTCCTGGTAAGGCAGATGTAGTGGACACTACGATCAATTCAGTGGCAAACTCCCCTGCTGTCCTTTATTTCACATCCGGCACGACTGGGGAACCCAAGACCGCCCAGCACAGCCAAGTTTCTCTGGCTCTGAGTAGCAAGATTGCTGGAGAACACTGGGCTCAGCTTTCTCCCGGTAGCCTGTTCTGGAGTCTTTCAGAAGTTGGTTGGGTGAAAGGTTCATGGGCTGTTTTTGCCGCATGGAATCATGGGGCTGCATTACTGGTTGATGAAACACCGAGTCAGATGTTTGACCCCATTCATACGCTCCGAATTATGCATGAATACCCCGTCACCAACTTCTGTGCGACCCCAACAGCCTACAGGCAATTAGTCACGGCACATAGTCAAGAGTTTGCGACTTCGCATCCTCCACAGATGATCAAAATCTGCATCAGTGCTGGCGAGACAATCGAAAGCACTGTGATCAAGGCCTGGGGGGAAATGACGCGGGGAGCAACAATTTTGAATGGCTATGGTTTGACGGAGACGGTTTTCCTCTGCACTGAAACCATAGATAGCCAGCGTCCAGGCTCAATGGGGCGACCTCTCCCAGGCATTCCACTGGAGATCTTAAGCGATGACGCGGAGGCAGTGGTTGTTGGAGAGGAAGGTGCCATCGGAGTTTGCCTTTCTGACTGCAAGGATTCCATATACGATGTCTTTAATGGTTACATGAACGAAGAAGGTGTTGTTACTCGGCCAACGGTACGAAGTGCAGCGGGTAAAGAGTACTATCTAACAGGAGATCGAGCTTATCAAGATGGAGAGGGCTACTTCTGGTTCAAGGCCCGAAAAGATGACATCATCAATTGTTCGGGATATCGCATTGGACCGAGTGAAGTTGAAGCGGTCTTGCAGAGCCATCCGGGGGTGCTAGAATCAGCGGTGGTTGGTATCCCGGATGAAGAACGTGGGTCTATCATCAAGGCCTATGTTGTCTTAAACGAGGGGTATGAGACTAGACCTCCGCGAAAGCTGCAGGTCGAACTTCGCCAGCATTTTCTGAACAACAGTGCATCCTACAAATGTCCCCGAGTCATTGAATTCATACCCGGGGCTAAATTACCTCGAACGGTCACCGGGAAAGTGCAGCGACATGAACTTCGAGCCTGGGAGCAGAGGTCCAACCAATGACATCACTTTCTCTGCGTGTTCTTCATGTATTCCTTAGCCTTAAGAGTAACAAATCCGATGATCAGTATCCACTATGTCGATTGCATATGCAGCTACGATCGATATCCACTATTGAAATTGCATATGCAAAGTAAATGATAAACAGTTTAACCCCTCCTGCAGTCACCGCATTGTTTCGTAAAACCTTATGAAGTGAGTGGAGACCTGGAGCGATTCACCTACCAGATGTATGACTTAGCGACCAGGGATACTACAAGCCTATTTTTAGCGATTAATTCTGCTGAGACAAACGCAAGCTATGGGCAACAACATTCAATAATACAAGTACAAGTTACATTAGGATTTAATATAGAACATTATCTGACAATGAAGTTTTCCATGAAATTGTGATACGAAACTGAATTGACGTTAAATTTTCAGCTGTGTGAGTACACCGAGTACACCCACGGAAGAAATTGGCGGCCTTTCCCAATTGGGCTTAGCTCGACCATTTCGCTGTCTAGAACTATTCCTTACGATATGATTCGTCTAAATGTAAACGTGGCCACCACTGACTGAAACCGTGTTTCCATTGATCCAACTGGCACCAGTGCTAGCTAGGAAGGCCACAACATTAGCCACCTCTCCAACGGTACCATGACGTTTTGCCGCGCTTGGTCCATTGACCTGTGTATCCCGAAATTCATCTGGAATGTCTCCTCCTTCGACACTAGTGTCAATCTCACCCAGGGCCAAGTTGTTGACTGTCATCTTGTAGGGGCAGGCGAGTTCATGCGCCCACTGGCGTCCCAAGCATTCTAGGGCAGCCTTGGTGGATGCGTATAGGGAGAGATTGTTGATACCTATACGAGATAGTCCCGACGATCTGCAGTGTTTTGTGAGTTGCTCGTCATGAAATAGAAAGTTAGGAGTACAAACATATTGATTACTCTACCATCTTTTTCGGCGATATGAGGGAGCAAAGCCTGCACAAGAAGATGTGGTGCACGCACGTTGACCATGTATTCACTTGATTGAATTGTCAGTTTCAAAACGGAATGGCATGTTTCAGGGAAACACTTCAAATGCTTACTGATCAAATAATGCCCCGTCCAGTTCTAAGACTGGTAAAAATGGAGGATATGATGCTGCATTGTTGACAAGAATGTCAATTTTGCTGACATTGAGCCCTTTCAAAGCCTGGTCGATAACACGACGTCCAGCGTCCAGCGTCGCAAGGTCAACTTGCACCAGGCAGGCCATACTCCCTATTTCACTAATTTGACTTGCGACCTTTTGAGCTGCCGGAGTACTTTTATCGGAGTGATACACAATGGCAACTTTGGCACCGCGCTTGGCAAGTTCCAGAGCAATGCCAGCTCCGATTCCACGGGAACCGCCAGTCACTATGGCGGCTTTCCCTTCGAGAGAGATATTGGGGGGAAGGTTAAACGAAGTCATTGTCGATTTTCTTAGTCGAGTAGACGGATTGAGGAGGAATCTGAAATCTGATGGAGGAGTAGAATTTCAACACTTGGGGCTTCCTGAAAAGCATGAAGCCACGTTGTTATGAATTGTCACGAATGGCACATGCTACAAAATTCATCTGTAAATCTCCACATTGCGTGTTCCTTGCAAACATAGCTCAAGTACTTCTGCAATGCATATCCCACGCAAGTCGTGTTCCATCGTCGTACAGACTTGTCGGCGGCAATATCATGCGCGATATATCTTTCAACCCTACATAACACATAGATGAAGAATGCAGGATGATTTGGCCCTGCAGGGTACTCGTCCGCTGCTAAAACTACCTGCGCACTACGAAAATGAGATTTTGTAAATCCGTCAAACAAGTCAATGTTGTTCTTGCATAACTAGGCTACATTGCCATACGGTAAGCTGTTTGACGCAATGTTGAAGTTGAAAATTGAAGAATGGCATGGCATGCTTGAGTCAGTTCCTGTCGGATAATTTGCCCCCCTGGTCTAGTTCACCTACATTTCTCCACCCCCTCAGCTCCCCTCTCATTCCCCATGTCCATATCCCCAGTCCAATATCAGCTCTCACTATCAAAACTCCACATCATTCGAATCTTGAAGCTCCAAGTCCTTCTAGAACTCACATTTCAATTGTTTTCATTAAAATCCATCAGTGAATGAGTCGCGTTGTGGGCTCGCTCTACCCCTCACTAATAAATGATTGTGCTTTGATAAGGTCATTTAATAAACAAAAATTCATACGGAATTTCTGATGAATTTCCGTTCTTTCACGTCGTTTGAACTTGCCATTACAGGAAATCTCCTCAAGAGACTTATTACTAACTCGAACAAAGTCACCGTGTATTGCGAATCACTAGCATGAGATCGCGAGTTTCTAACTTGGGTTAGGTACAAATATAGATTAGGAAAGTCAAATTTTTGGATGTAGATTGTGAATGCGATGGACTAACACAGATTAATCTAATACAAAATGGAAAAATTCCCCATAAAGGAAATCTTTTCATATATAAGACCGCACAATATAATGCGTTAATCTCTGAACTAGAATAAATGCTGAAATAAGGTTATGATTTTAACAGATTTACTCATTCAGTATCATACATAATTCCATAATATTCAATAAAGATTAAAATTTCTATCACGCACTATCTCAAAAAGATTACATACCTGCTGTCAAATGTGATTCATGACTTTGGTGTAGTGGACCGTCCATATGTGTCCAGCAACAATTGCATTTTCGTTCTTGATCAATAATGAATTTAAAATTAAAGGTACCATTAGCTGTCCTATCTTTTTGTATTTCCTCAACTACGCTTCTCAATCGATCTTGACGCTTTTTCCAATTTCACAAAGATGGGCTCCACCGTGCGAGAAAGTACTTGCTATGATTCGACCTATTTGGCCGAATACTACGACATCTGGACAGGCACCCGCAATGACACCAGCTACAATTCAAATGCGCTCGTCCAGATGGTCTCTAAAGCACCATCCTCACACATTCTCGTGCTTGATGCTTGCACTGGCACTGGCCGGCTGATTCAAGCAATCACTAGCTATGCGAAAGATCAGTCTGATATTTCTCTTGCTAATGTGGAGTTCATGGGGCTCGACAATGAGCCCCATATGATTGCGCGAGCGGAGAAAATAAATTCAAAACTTCCTGTTCAATCTGGCTGTCGAGGCATTACCTGGCTTCTGGGCTCAGCGTTGGAAATGTCCTCCATCCCCGTCTTTCAAACAAAAAAGGTTGACCTTCTCACGATTGGTTTCGGGAGTATTTCGCACTTCTATCAGCCAGGTCAACCTGAAAAGTTCTTAGAAGAAGTGGCTCATATCCTGACTCCGGGAACAGGAATAGCTCATATCTCGATTGTGAGCAAGCTCATCGCAGACCCAGAGTTGGGTCTGGATAAGGATATAACAGATCCTTTGCCACCTAGTGAGCATTCCAGTATCGAGTTTCCAGGTGTAGTTTATCGGGAGAAAGTGGTAGAAAATGGCGTTCAGGGAAATACTTGGCGCGTGGTCAGAGACATTGAGGTCTGGAAGGATGAGACTTTAATCGAGAAGAATCTGGACACAGCTTTGTTCCGTGTCTGGACTGAGAAAGAGCTGAGGGAATTGGTTTCTGGAGCTGGCTTGCGAGTATTAGAGATAATTCCCCAGGAGGTAGATACATTATTTGTAGTGGGATTTTGAAGTTTTGTAGCTACACGCCACTAAAATAAACATGTATTTTCCGTGCAAATAACCTAGAAGTACTTCAGTACACAAAGAGCTGATTGATACCCAATGTGTACATTGATTTGCCGATCAGTGCGGCGTAATATATATATGGACACTCCCTCCTCAGTTTCCTGCCAAAATTACATATCACTCGCAGAATTCCTTCAGACCGCACACTGTAATTCACTATGGGAAGTATCGGCGAAACCTCGGTGCTTGGAATTAAATCCCCCCATGACCTCCTCAAAGATTCCTGGTGTCAGATACTCAGTCTAGACGATGAAGATGTTGAACCCGACTCCAACTTCTTTGCCCTAGGTGGAGATTCTATAGATGCCCTAAAAGTAGCGCGGCTGGTACAGCAAGCTGGGATAGCCCTGAATGTGAATCTCATGCTTCGTCATCCCCAATTCTCCGAGATGGTAAAAGCTGTTTTGGAACAATCACTACAAAAAGTGAAAGTAATCGAACGCCCCGAAAACGTGGTCTCTACCCGGTTCATTCAAATTCCGGAATCCCGGCAGCACGAGGTGCTTTCATCAGCGGTGCAACAATGTAACATTTCCGAGTCGGAGGTAGTGCGCCTATTTCCCTGCACACCGATGCAGACGGGCCTTGTGGTCCTCACAGCTCAACAGCATGATTTATATTGGGCCCAACAAAGCTTTGAATTGCCGAGTGACTGGCCACTTGCTCAAGTAGAGGCTGCTTGGAAAAGAGTAGTCGAGGCGAATGAAGCACTTCGCAGCCGGATTATACAGCTGTCTGATGGTACTTGCTATCAAGTGGTACTCCACTCGGAAACCGGCACATTAAATGAAGAGGTCAAAGGCGGTAATAGCAATCCCCCATTTGGAGAGCCTCTATTCTATTGTTGGATAGAGCAAGGGCGACTTAAATGGCGTGTCCACCATGCTGTTTACGATGCGTGGTCGCAGCGGTTGATATTTAACGCGTTGGTAGATGCCTATCAAGATCCAAACAATCCAAAAATCGTTCACCCTCCCTTCTCATCCTTTGCTGGATATCTGGCGCAGATGGATTTGACTCAGTCTATGAGCTTTTGGCGCCAGAATTTACATGGCTTTGAAGGACAGGCGTTTCCCCGGCCCCTAGCAAGGGACGAGCCACGAGATCAGGCTCATTTCTCGATGGAATCTCCATGGAGCCAGAATCAGCATCATCTCGGGTTCACCGCCGCAACGGCCATACAGACAGCATGGGGTATTGTTCTTGCCCGCTATAATGAAGCTTCCGATGTTATTTTTGGGGTGGTAAGCATGGGAAGGAGCGCCTCAATTACGGGTGAAGATGTCGCCCGTATCATCGGCCCAACAATTGCTACTATTCCCTTTCGTTTGCAACTGGAGGAATCTACCACCGTGAATGAATCTTTATCGGCTACACAGTCGCAATATGGAGACTGTTTACCTTATGAACATGTTGGTTTGGCACACATTTCCTCCTTGGGGGATTCCGGACCAGCCCAAGCCTCCCGCTTCCAAAGTCTTTTGGTGATACAGCCCGATGAAGTCGATGACAGCCCTATCAATGAGATAATGGATGACCGACGAGATGATTATATGGAATATCCTCTGTCACTAGAATGTTTTCTCGGCTCAAATTCAATTCGCCACGTGATCACTTATAGCAAGGCCATCATGGGGCAATGGGAAGCGGAACGACTCCTCGAAAAATTTATTCATGTGCTAAACTGGATCCTACAGCCATCAAATCAAACATCTCTTGTGTCACAACTAGACATGTGGACCGCAACTGATGCTAAGATCATGCGGCAGTGGCATTCAACCCCTATCGACTTGATCGAGGAATGCATTCACACTTTGATTGAGCAACGTTCAGTTTTGGGCGAGTGGGAAGATAGCCCTGCAGTTTGTGGATGGGATGGCGAATTTTCATATGGTCAACTGCTCTCAGTTTCGAAGCGGTTAGCTCAAAGCCTTCGTTTTGCTGGTGTGGGTCCAGAGGTTTTGGTGCCTATAGCTCATGAGAAGTCCTGCTGGACTCTGATTAGTATACTCGGAGTTCTTCAGGCGGGCGGTGCGTTTGTTCTGTTGGATAGTGGACTACCGGTAGCTCGCATGCAGACTATGATTTCGGTGGTACAAGCTCCCCTTATTATCTGCTCTGAAGCTCTTCAATCCAAAGTGTCCGGTTTAGCCAGTCGAATATTCTGTCTGGATTCTTTGATGCGGAAAGAGCTCTTACAGGCGCAGCCCACGAACCATACAGATGCCTCCTTCTCCTCTGGTGTCGCAGCGAATAATTTAGCCTATGCCGTTTTCACATCTGGTACCACTGGGATTCCAAAGGCCGTAGTGGCAGAACACCGTCAAGTTGCTACTGCATTTCATGCACAGGCCATGCAGGGTATGTTCCAGCGCAATCGTCGTATGTTGCAAGTTGCGACCTATAGTTTCGATCCATCAATTGCGGACATGTTGGGACCACTGTTCGTAGGAGGAGTAGTGTGTATCCCACGGGAAGAAGAGGTTCTCACCGCACTGGCCGGCGTTATCTCTCGGTTTCAGGTAGATGTGATTGATATTACTCCATCAGTGGCTAACATGTTGGACCCACTCGAGGTTCCGAACTTGAAAGAGTTGCGACTAGGTGGGGAGGCTGTAACTGCGGCGCAGCTGAAGCGATGGACCAGAATGCCACATTTTCAATTCCACAACAGTTATGGTCCCAGCGAATGTTGTGTCACCGCGGCACTGACTCCACCGCTACATCCTTCAGTAAATCCCTTGAATTTTGGTTCTCCTGTCGGTTGTCGCATGGTGATTGTGCATCCCGACAATTGCAGTCAGCTGGTGGCATTAGGGCTTGTAGGAGAACTCGCGATTCAAGGCCCTATCGTCACTAGAGGATATCTGAATAATGCAGACGCTCAGAAAAGAGCATTTGTTGAGGTATCTCCATTTAAAACTTTCTCGGAAGCTACACCACAATGGGCGTCAAGAATTTACTTGACTGGAGATCTGGCTCGGTTTGCACCAGATGGCTCTGTGATTTTTGTTGGTCGCAAAGATCATCAGGTCAAGTTGAATGGACAGCGTATTGAGCTTGGAGAAATTGAAGCTACTGCCACAAAAATCGAAGCGTTGGAGGAGGCTGTCGTGATGATCATCAAGAGCAATGGTCGTGCAGAGCTAGTTCTGGTTGCTCAGTGGAAAAAAGATTCAACATCACAGCCAGAAGTTATCCAAGACAGCAAGATCAACAGCATTAATAGCTTGCAAGAGATGAAAATACTAAATCTACCCGATGTATCTGCCAATACCCTGCGGCAACTTGCCGCAATGCTACCTCCATATATGGTGCCGGCCGTTTGTCTCTTAACAGACCGTCTGCCTTTATCACTGACTGGTAAGACGGATCGTAAGGGACTTCAACAGTGGATAGAACAACAAGATCTCTCGCCTTGGCGAAGAACTATTGCAACAGCTACAATTCCAGCATCTGATACTGTAGCCCGACAACTTAGCGAGCTACTTGAACCTTTCTTACCGGAAGGGTCTATTGAAGACCCAGAGAATCCTCCTGATTTCGCTCCCGTGTCAGCAGGACTAGACTCGATTCGCATGGTCTCATTTGTGCGTGCGATCAACCGTAACTTTGGCATTCTCTTACCACTAAGTCGGATACCTCGCACCATGCTGCTTACTGAGCTGGCCATCACAGTGAAAGAATTACAGTCCCGGAAAGACACAAGTGAAGAACAAATAACGGATAGTGAAGATGTTGAACCAATGCTCCGCGATCTTCAGAAGGGGATCCCAGGCCATTTTGCGCCTGGCTCCACACCTTCCAACGCTATACACAACGTCTTTTTGACAGGGGCGACTGGATACGTCGGGACTGCCATTCTCCAAAGACTCCTGTATACTCCTTCTCTCCAGAGAGTTTACCTTCTTGTTCGTGCAGAGGATGAAGTCATCGGACTCGAGCGCGTGCGCGCTGCAGCCATCAAAGCCGGTTGGTGGAATGAGACGCTACATTCTTCCAAAATCCAAGTCTGGGTAGGAGATCTTTCCAAACCAAGACTTGGAATTAATAGCTCCCAGTGGGGACAGCTGGAAGGATGTAACACAGCTACCAACACCTCTCAAATTACTGGAATCATTCACAACGGAGCTCTCGTACACTGGCAGTACAGCTACTCTGAGCTCCGAGCAGCCAACGTAGATTCTACCACACAATTAGTATCGATAGTGACACGGAATCCGCATATTGCTCGCTTTGAGTATATATCCGGAGGTGCACAATGGGATCCATCTGAAGAGGAGACTGTTTTTTCCACAACCACACTCCAGCGAAAGTTGCACGAGACAAATGGTTACGGACAATCAAAATTGATTGCCGAACAGGTCGTAGCAGCAACAGCAGCACTGCAAAAATCAGAGGGAATCTCAGGAAGTCGACTTGGCATCCTGAATCCGGCTTTAATCATTGGTGGCCCAAGCCATGGTCATGCAGCTAACCTCGATGACCTGATCTGGAGACTCATTAGCGCGTGTGTACTCGTGGGCGAGTACTATCCCGAGCCCGAGGAGTGGATTTACATTTCTAGGGCAGAAGATGTTGCTGAGATGACTGTAAATGCCTTGATTAACCCCACGGTGATCAGGAAGCAAAGAAAAATGCTGAACGGAATTCGGGTAAGGACTTTTTGGGAGGCGGTCAATGCTGCTCTTGATACTCCCTTGAATGCCAGCGAGACTTATGCTGTCTGGCTTGGTAAGCTAAATGGTTCTTTATCCGAATTTGGTGATGGGCATCCATGTTGGCCTGTTATAAATGTCATTGAGACGATGGGCCCAGGACTCCTTAGCAGTCCGGCTCCTGTGTGGACTGATGCTGATGATTGGGAAGAGATGGAGCGGGTCATGGCCCAGGCCGTTACGCTAAATGTAAAATACTTGCAAGACCTTGGGTATCTTGGAAGGACTTGGTCTGGTAAAGATTTTCCAGGGGGCTTTAGGAGGAGAGGTTGACAACTTTGTGAGTTTGCGGGGTTTGTGTCCCACTTTTCTTCGGAGGAATCTTGGCATTTTCGTAGTAAAAATTCGTTTGATTGGTGACTACCCATGTAAAGTTTGTTTTTGGGAATGAGCTTTCTTTCGTCTTGATTTTGTTAGACCTTAACTACAACATAACTACAACATCAATATATCAGTCTCATTCATTCGAGTACCGATTGGTCATTTTTCGTTCTTAGCCTTCATCTAAACGAAAAAAAAAGAAAAGACCGGATTACTCCAATAGAACCAATCGCTGAGGTCCTGATTGGTAAAGTTATTCTATTTTTAAACGTTAACATCGCCATAAGCTTCAAGGTTATAAGACATCAAAAGATCAAGGGTCTTCAGATGTTTGTATTCATGTTCAATTCTGAATTACCGTCGTTTGATTTGATATCTAACATTGAAAGAATACATACGTTTGGCATTCCGGTTTCCGTGTCTAGCTCTTTAGCTAAAGAGCGTGTACATCTCAAGAACTCTAATCGGCCAATCTCTAATACGAAAAAAGGGAAAGATCGCAGGGAGAGGTCTGTGCTACATTACGATGTACCAGTTCAAGAACTCATTGCACGTTGGCTACTTCTTCATTGATTTTTCTTGCCGCGCTTGCCTCCTGATTTTAATCAATATGAATTGGTGTTTGGCACCAGACTGCCTGGTTTGTTTTAATGACTACATCACACTCCTCTATGTGAGCATCGTCATATCTTGAAGACATGTTTGGACGCCGGTCCCCTAAGATACTCATCCAATCAATGGTCACAGCCCATCTTTGAAATAATCTCGTGCTCTCCAATCGGGATGTGGCAAGAGAAAATCAGAAAAAAGAAAGAAGAAAATGTTAGTATCACCAAATTAAGTACAGGATATATTGTCAAAGAGATAGAAAAAGCTGTTTTTGAGTCTGTTAAACACCACTAACATGGAAATGAGAGGATGTATTTATATTCTGGTATTATCTTTTTTCTATACTTCAAGAAGATGTATTGACAGCTGTGATGACATAGGCAGCGGAATTAATTTAGTATGTCCTGGGTACTAACTACTTGCATACGAATCCATCCCAAGAACTGAAAGCCTTCTCACAGTCCGTCTGATACTGAGGCAATCCAGCAGCATATGTGAGTAACTCCCGTTTCTTACCCGGAATGTTTCCACCCAAAAACCACGAGTCTGGAGAATCGAGGAAGAGCGTTCCATCGAATTGAGATTTTACGTGTTGACTCCAAGTTTCCTGTGCGGCGACAGTGGGCTCAACAACAGTGTTTCCTTGCGCCAGTAGCTGTTTAATTGCATCACAGATTAGCCCACACTGCACCTCGATGCCGATAGGACCACTCGAAAAGGATAATGGACCCTGAGGGCCTGCTAGAAAAAACAAATTGGGGTATCCATTGATGGTCATTCCGAGATACGTCTTCACGCCGGACTTCCACTCGTCCTTCAAAGACTTCCCTTCGACACTATGAAGCCCCATATGAGTGAGCCCACCAGTAATCATATCAAAACCTGTGGCTAGGGCAATGATATCAAGAGAGTAGAACTGACCATCCGTGGTGGTAAGGCCGTCCGGTTGAAAGGAGTCAATAGAAGTGGATCTCAGGTCGACTAGATCAACATTAGAACGATTGAATTGATCGTAGTAGTCAAGTTCACAGGTAGGTCTTTTCGCACCCATAGGATGTAAAGGCTCTAGAGGCGCCAGGAGATCACGTTTGCGTGGATCCTCAATTCGTGAACGGACCTTTTGAGCCCAGAAGTCGTACATTTCTCGGTTCGCGGCACGATTGATCATTACGTCCTTATAATTACCGTAGACGTAAGGAAATCCGCCAGTCTTCCATAAATGCTCGCGGAAGGCTTGTCGCTCAGCCGGGTCTACTGTGTCAAATGTGTTGGTTGGTGCGAATTGATAGTTCACGCCGCTTAGATGCGTACGTCGAAAGTGATAGAATTCCTCGTGGGTCATTTTGGGATCCTGAAGCCAACCTTCTCCGTGCATAGGTAGGGCTGTGTTGGGGGTACGTTGGAAAACAGTAAGATGATCTGCTCGTTTAGCCCAGTCTTGCACTATCTGCAACCCTGAGGCCCCTGTACCAATGACTGCGGCTCGCTTGCCCTTCAGCTCAAACCCCTCCTCTGGCCACTCGTAGGAGTGCGCCACTGTTCCTTTGAACGACTCAAGTCCGGGGAAAGAGGGGATATGTGGTACTGTGCCGGGTCCAGGGCAAGCAATCAAAAATCGACTGGTAAATTGACTGCCGTCTTCAGTTGTTGTGTACCATCTATCCCCCCGAAATTGACCATGGGTGACCCGAGTGTTGAATTGAATGTCTTGTTTCAATCCCAATACTTTATCAAGATATGCGAAGTATCGTCGCAATTCCGGCTGCGAGGGGAACTTCTCACTCCACTTCCAGTTGTTCCAGATCTCTGGAATTGATAGGGCATAGAATGGAGCTTCAGTGTCGACTCGTGCGCCAGGGTATCGGTTCCAAAACCACGTTCCTCCCAGATCTGATGCTGCTTCTAAGACAAGACATCGGTGACCCTGTTTCCGGAGATGATAAAGAAGAGTTACTCCGGCGAAACCAGCCCCTACAATGATAATATCATAGTCTAGTGGTTTGTTTGTTATTACGGCCATGTTTTTGGTAGGAGAGTGGAATGGTTGTGAAGTTGAGATGAAGAGATGAATTTTTTAGGGTCTTCTGGCTTCCTTCTAGGAAACTTGCCACATACTTATTTGACAGGTTACAAGCATTGACAGCTGTTAGTGTTTATGTACGAACTATGGGCTTAGATGTAAGGACTGCATTGTCACCTGCAGACTAGGAAGTTGGTTCAATCGCCACCCCAAGGCAGGATGTAGCATTTTACTAATTGCGCTAAATACATTTCAAGCGGACAAACCCGATAATTCAATTCGAATCAATTTGAAGTAAGTTATGCACATATATTCAGCCGTATGTATGCAATATGCATCCAATAGCTGATCACACACTACACCTATCTTGTGCTTCTACCCTCCCAACTCATTGCTTCAATGGCTGGTTGGACTTCAGTCCAATCTGGTCCGCAACCTCGGTGTAATTGTGTTGCCACAATCCACCTCCTAGTGTCGGATACTGAGAGCGCCAGGCACACATTTTTTGTGCCAGTGGAGTCATGCTCTCTATAACATCACGGGGAATCATAAGCGGATAGCATTCTTCTGGTGTGAGGTAGCTGGCTTGGAAGCACAGGGAGATTCCGCGACGCCAGAAGTCTTCAGTACGGTTTTCACCGCCACCGTGGCAAAGCCTGCCTGTGAAGAAGAAGACATCGCCAGTCTTCATAACGGCGGGAACGGCATCTTCCTCTCGGCCCCAATCCTCATAGTCCTCCATCAAGTGGCTCTTGGGGATACCACGAGTGGCGCCATTTTCAGCAGTGAAGTCGGTCAACGCAGTGAAGAAACTGATCTGGATCTCATCCATCCGGGGACCCAACTTGGTCAAACCGGGAAACTCTGCTGTGTCGCGATGTAGCTCTTGAGCTTTGCTTTGAGGACCGATTTCGATTACCTGCGCTGTGCACATCCAGTAATCTCCAGATTCCTTGCGGAAGATTGCCTCGCAGATCTGGTGCAATAGATCGTAGTTGAGGACTTCCTCGCGGAAAGTTTTGCTGATGGTAGGTAGGTTGCTAAGTCGGCGAGTATTGGAACCGTGGAATTGAGTAATCCATTCTTCCTCTCCGACATTTCGGTGTGTGCCACATTTGATCTTGGCTAACAGAGGGTCTACCTCTTTGTTGATTTTAGCCATTTGCTCCTGTGTAAAGAAGTCTTCCACCACAATCCCGCCATCTTCGCGGAACATCTGGAGGATCTCCTCGACGGGTGCCTTGGCACTAATGCGTCGGAAAGGGGTTGGGACACTGACAGTCATTCTGAATAGAGAGGATAGGAAGGTGAAATTGAACGGGGATGGTAATACTGATAGTTTCTTTCAACGAGTAAGAGATCTCTATTTATGTCCGGTCTCAACAATCATGAGTAAGGATACGTCAGTGTCTTTGCTAAGGGTACATATGCATGCATTTGTGACTGTTCTCACTATGGATGTTATCGCGACTTGAATCAGCTTGAATACTTGTCTTGGTGATATTCATGCACCACGTACTTCTTATCTTTCGTTTCGACGCGTTGCACCTGCACAATTTCAATACGATCACTGAATTTAGTGCTTTGTACAAGAGCGTAACGACTCTATAGTCTTGGGTACCTATGCAGAAGAATTTGATGATCGCCATTCGAATTTCCAATATTTACTTGGAGCAAGTTTATTTCACTATGGGTCTTCCAGTGCACCTAAAATCTGCATATTTACTTCATGGGGATAGCAAAACCACCTATAGCATTGAGCGAACTATGTTATATTCATCCAAAAAATCCTTAACTACCTAGTGGGACACATAGTGATAGATGCTGTATATCACAAAATCCTGATGGTGGGAATCCCCTACTGGTTCCGTATAATCATTTAGAATATAAAAAAGGCTTTTGAAAATTGACGGAAATAACGCCGTGAAATTAGTTCAATAGCTTTATTTTAGAGAATGCCTTAGCCTTTTAGGGTATCTAGTCAATTTTGAGGAACTTCCTTGATTTTTGAAGCGTCAAGATAGCTTCCCGATTGAACTAACAATTAAAATCTATGGAAAGTGTATATATGCATTAAAGCATGCAATGAATTTTATAGTGCAAAACTGAAAGTTTCTTACCTAGGTAGTTCTTCAGCAATGTGCTTGAGTCAGTGCTTGCTGAAGATTCGTCACTTTTAGTGTGGTTCGGCTAGCTTTCTCCGTCTCCTGCAGTCTAATTCGGCTAGCTTTACCCCCTCATTCAGCTCCTCTTCTTCCCGCATTCCCTGTCACCGTCTACCATTAGCTTGCATCTCTCGAAACGCTAAGGTTTTAAAGTTTCGAAACTTTAATAAGTCACCCTCCTGTAGAAGGGCGTGAAGGGAAAAGCGGGACACCAATGATTGGCTCTCTTTTTGATATTCGCTGTCAAATCGAACAACCAAAATTTCACATCACCCATGAAATAATCATATCTATAAGCTCTCAAATCTGTTGTGAAACTTTTTCTATTAAAATCTAAAATGGTATCGTTAAAAATTATTGAATCAATCAAATTATTGAAATCCAGTCCGAAGTTCGTCTTGGAACCAATGAATCTCCTGGCCCCACTATTCCTCTGTCTGCTCTGTCTTTCGATCACTAAAACCTGCGTACCTGGCAGCAGTCTTGATCCTGAATTTCTTCCCAAAGTAGATAAACACAATGTTACCACCGAGTACAACAGTCGTTATGAGGCCAAATGTCACATAGACCCATGTCAATCCAACACTATCAGTCCAGGGCTGAAGAACAAAAATAAACATTGTCAAGATGGCGTTACGGACAAAAGTCACACCCATAATTGAGTCGGCAATGATCTGTAGATTATACCGTCAGTGATTGCTAGTGTGAGGCTTAAAAAAAGAAGAAAACTTACGTCTGTGTATGCATCGGTCAGGTATGTAAGTGCAGCGCTGCTAGTTGGGAGAACCCCGAAACAAATGATTCCAAGCCCAAAGGCCGGTACAAGCCAGTTAGCGCCGTTGTTCAAACCGATTCCAAAAATAAAGACACCTGCTGGGACAAAAGGTGCGAAGGCGACAGAAACCCAAAGACGCATCTCAGGCTCGAAGACACCGCCATTTCTTTTGGCGAGGTAAAGAGAAACATAATCACTCAAGAAGCCACCAATCAAAGTCCCTAAAGTAGCACCAATGAAAGGTGGAAGGCCCATCAATCCAATTTCAGTAGGATTGAAGTCATATGGGGGAAGTGTCATGTATGACGATAGAGAGGTGACTGGAAGAACAATGCAGGAGATCAAGACTCCGTATTGAAGTGACATGAAAAAGACAGCCGGTATGGTGAATATGACCAAGAAAGGCTGGTAAGTGTGCTTGAAAAGTTGACTCAGTGGCATTGATGAGTTCGACCACAGTGCCAACTTTTGCCAATAAGACTTTTGGGGAATTGAATAATCAATTACGACCTCTCCGATTTGAGGAGCGCCGTTTAGTGCCTCTGGGTCGTTGTTGTTGACTGCCTCTTTATCTTCCGGCTGGCTAGAAATTTGTTCAGTTTCAGTTGTCGGACGGGTAAACATTGTCTCTTCGTAGCAGAAGATAAACACAACAAGGCCTACTCCAAGCAATATAGCCAGCCACCACCACACCCAGCGCCAGCCTTGGCTCGAAGTGATGAAACCGCCGGGTAACGGTGATAGAGTAGCTCCGGTGATCATGAACCAGTAATAGATAGAATTCACGAGTCCTCGCTCATGAAAGTAAAACATATCAGCCACTGTCATCTGAACCATCACTTCTGCTAATGCACCGACCGTGCAACTTAACAGATTAATCAACATGAGCTCCGCCACAGTCCGCATCCTGGCGTACCATATACTCATTCCACATTGAACTGCAGTGCTGAAGATATAAACTGGTCGTCGTCCGAACTTCAGCGCAAACGGAACGAGTATAAATCCGCCGATACACAACGCCCCGTTTCCGGCAGCAAAAGCGTCATTTAGTATGGCGTAGCTAAAACCAAGCTCGGCATTCACTGGCGCCCAGGTCACGGTTGCGATGTCGATTCTGCTTGCTTTAGTACTTCTGTATCATATCTGTGTGATGGAAGACCACCTACAGTGAAAACACCATCAAGGTGTAATAGGAAATCAATATGAAATTCAGGTACTTTCTCCATCGTGGCCAGTTCTAATAATTTGATGAGATTAGCTACTTAGCATGAGCAGGGAGACTAAGCTTTCAACTCACGAGAGGGTCGTTTGGATCGTTACTAGGCCTTGGTTGCAGGACAATATGTGAGCTTCCGTCGAGCGACGTGTTACTTGACCCAGCTTGGGGCACCATGGTAGAAGAAATTTGTTTCGCTTCCATCTTGAAAAAGTAGTTGTCCTTGAAATCAATCTCTACATGTGGGACGGAGAGGGTGATATAAAGACTTTCGGAGTCGCTTAGAGGCAGGCATATCGGTGAATGTTCTAGGGAGGGTCGGTGAGATGATAAAGGAGCTTATGCAGCATGAGGTGATAATGCAAGATCTAAAGACAGGAGCTTATGTAGAATACGATGATAAGGCGACACCCAGAGCTCAAGATGTCAAACAACATCCAATCGCAAGCAATGAGACGAGTAAAGCTGTACGTACATCACGGGATGAAACCTACTAGGAAGCACTCGTGTTGATCAAGGGAAAATTGATGATACTACTTTCGTGTATAAGGCTCCGCAATTTTGTCTATCAGATTATGTATTTCGTGTAAGTTCAGGCCTACGTCCTCTTGATGAAAGACTCTAAAGATCGACTTTAGAGTTCGCATGGGATGTTTAAGGCGAAGGTGACTGACGGAACCGATCAGCAACTTAACGTGTTGTCAAGAAAAGCTGAACAAGAAAAACCCGCAGTGATCGACGAGACGAGGAGTGGGATCCACTTTCGTAACTCTAGAATCTCAATTGAGTTTCGCGAGACTTTGGGGAGAGGCAAAAGAATTTGACGGCAGATATATTGTAGGTCACTTTGCGATAATTCAAGCAATGAATGTAGATTGACAGCGCGGGATGATCGAGACCATGTGTCCAATAATCCAAGCTGCGGCGCGAACCAGATTTTTAAAGTTAAGCAACCAAGTTCAAGCCATTGAAAAGCTACAAAGTCTATTTTTGATTATACAAGTCCCCAAAAACCCAATTTAGTACTTTGAGAATTCAGATAGGTCGAACAAGATAAAGATTCATATGAAATTTTATAGTATATCTTGAGTGATAAATCTTGAACTTTCTAACTCGACTATAAAGCTACATATCAGCGCTTTAAAGAATCCAATGTATTATACAATAGCCCTTATTCAATTCAAAAGTTTAAACTATGGCTTATTGTTTGGATGGAGTATTGACAGACTATTGAACACACCAGGCTGAGATGGATGAAAGCGATGTAATATTCAGCTCCCTTAAAATCGGATAAGCCCCAAATCAAGAAATGGTTAATTACTGGAATTTCGATGTGCCCTCCTCCAATCACGGATGGAATACGTCGACGCATTAAATTTCACATATTGAAGCAGTCGCAAGAAGGGACTTATCGTGCATCGGTAGCTTTTAATCACCATTGACTTGCTCCAGGGACCTGGAACCTTTCATTGGCCCACAGCAAAGGGATAGATACAGTAAGTGCAGATAACCCTAGCCCTATTATCAAAAGTCATTGACAGGAACCTAGAGTATACAACTGTGGACGTTACTTTACCAAGCTGAATATCAAGCTTTATCAGATGCTGCTCATCGCATACACACGGGCTAATACGATCACGTATAACACTAACATACCGTGTAACTAGCTAGGCTAGCTCGGTAGGAGCTTAACCCAACTCAGATCTAGCTTTTCTCGCTTCCGTTCAAAAGTGAATCAAAAATCTTTGTCAAAGTTTCATGTTTGCGAAATCTGGCAATCACACACCGCTCAGCGTCGTCAGCTTTAATTCAATCGGGTACAGCTCAGAGTGAGGTGTTGAGATTATAAAATATGTGTGTGAAGAGACAATCTACAGTGATTGACGAGTTGGGCCAGCATATCTTCTCGGGTTTCCATGACAGCCGTCGGTTGCCACACATACTCGTGGACCAGGCCGCGAAAACAAGATGAGCTGTCATTCCGAAGTTTCATTGTCTTGTCAGAGACCCGGACTGCAGACTTCTACGAACATCTGTGTCCGGTGCACACTAAACTTCTAACCGACCTTTTGGAGCTGATAATAACCTCGGAAACTCGGAAGTCTATAATAAGTTTAGCTCTAGTAACTAGAAAATGGTTCATGAAAGCTCTCAAACCTCAGGGTTACAAGCTGTTGACCATATAATGCACCAATCGTCATTATAATTGGCGCAAGAGTCACTTCGCTCTATCAAAAAAGAAAGAAGACGAACAGTGATAATCAATCTGGGAAGGATGAGCTGTCACTGCTCTAAGGGCCAAGCTATGTTACGAGCATAGTCACTCAATTGTATTTGTTGCAAGCATACCGCTACTTGCGAGATGACGATACTTTGAAACAAAAAGTAGCAAGCTAGCGCAACAAAATTCTTCAAGGTAGTCTGTCAACGATGGTGCGGCTGAAATCCCGATACAGATTCATGGTTTTGAGTGATACTACCGGGATATTGTCTGGTGGCAAATGAAATATAATGGCTATCCTATTTTGAAGCCAAACAAAGACAACTTTATGATTTCACATGCTGGCAATAAAGAAGGCAGGACTGAAAAACTGGCATAACTTCATTGAATTGGTATTTTGATATAGTATATCTAGCCCTTTGCGGCACCGGCCTTGATCAACAAGATATCTACACAGAGTCAGCAATGATTCAAGATCAGAATTGAACCTATTCTTCTTACCTCCGTCTTCAACAACGTAATCTTTGCCCTTAGTCATGACCTTTCCCTTAGCCTTGATCTCAGCTTCATCTCCATTGAATTCCTTGAGCACATTAAAGTTGTATACGATAGCTTGAATGAAGGTCTTTTCGAAGTCACCGTGAATGACACCTGCAGCTTGTGGTGCTTTGGTACCATTTCTGATAGTCCATTGACGGACTTCATCTGTACCTGTAGTGAAGAAACTTCCGAGGTCCAAAACCTTTCTCATGGCGGTGATAATCTTAGGTAAAGCAGATTCAACACCCAAGGTCTTGAGTTCTTCCTTGGCTTCTTCTTCAGTCGCAAATTGAGTTAATCTCTCCTCAAGGCAGATGGAGATTGGCATGATTGGATCACCGGCTGCGTGTTCCTTGATCCATTCCATAACCTTTGCCAAATGCTTGTTCTTCTTTCTGATGTAGTCCTTCTCGCTCAAATTAATGAGGTAAACGACTGGCTTGGCAGTCAAAAGGAAGAGAGGGTTGATACACTCGATCTGTAAGAAATGAAGTAAGTATATAGTTTCATGTATCATTCAAGATAGTGATGTAGTATCGAAGTATCAGAACGGGATTTTTCTCTCAGAATACACTCTGCATTTAATGCGAGGTACTCGACGAGCTGGGATTATTCTATGAAAATATAGAAAAAATTGAGCACATACCTCTTTCGGTGACCAGTTACCCTTTCGGACATCCTTTCCATCGTTGAGCATAGCCAAAACCTTTTCGATAGTGGCTTCCTCCTCTCTGAGCTTTTTCATCTCAAGTGATTGACCACCCCTTCTAGTCAATTTCTTCTGAGCTTCGAGTGCCTTCTCAACGAACTCGATATCCTTGATACGGAGCTCATCACTGATGATAGTCAAATCGCGGACAGGATCAACATCTCCCTCAATGTGGATAATCTCGGCATCATCGAAACAACGGACGACTTGAAAGATGGCATCGACAGCACGAATATGCGACAAAAATGCGTTTCCAAGACCTTCACCCTTAGATGCACCTCGAGTCAAACCGGCGATGTCGTAAATTGTAAGATGTGCTGGCACTCTGGACTTAGGGTTGTACTTTTCGCAAAGCCAGTCGTATCTGTCATCAGGAACGATAACTCGAGATTCTTCAGGATCGATGGTTGCGAAAGGAAAGTTTGTTGATATTGTTAACGTTGATACATATGATCGACTCGGGGCTCTGAGACTTACTGCGGGGTTACCAAGGGAGCACTTGGTAATAGCTTGAAAGAGCGTTGACTTGCCGACATTTGCAAGACCGACCTATTTTTAAAATCAGTTCATGTCTTAGACAACTAGAATGAAGAGAGAAATACAATTCCACTCTTCAAGTTGTTACCAGGTCTACCCAGTAACGCCTTCTTCTCTTCGACGACTTTCTTGGGAGGCATTCTGCTCTTCTTTTTTGCGTAAGACCTCTTTTGATTTATGAATAGAACCGTACAGTTAAGTAGGCTCTTGTTGTATTTGTTTATAAAAGCAGAACTTGCTGCTGTGGTGAACAAAGTGGGTTGATAAGAAAGAGAGATACGTTGAAGAGGTGAGAGAGACGTCGTGATGGTGGGATGAATGCAGCCAGCCTTGTGCGGACCGCGAAAATAGAAATTTGTATGGAGGTGAAGGGACGAATTGAATTACTCGAAAAATATTTCGTTTGAAGTTTCTTGTGTGTGCGCGCGCTGGAAAATTACCCAATCGATGAGGGGTAAGGATTCTTGATATCACGTGATCATATCGATTGATCGGGATCAAATTTCACCGTCAAAAATGGGGCAGCTTAGCTAAGCAGTACTTTTGATTGGCTCTCCGCAGCATAACTGGGTCCCCTCCAATCGTTACGCGAACGGATGGCTAGACCTATGATGATATACCTTGTAGATACAACTATCACCCCGACAGTCAGGTAAACAGTCAACTTAATTTCGATAATGAATGCCATAATTTGGATCTGAATCTGAGTCTGATTCATTTTCAAGACAAGGAAGCAAATAGGGGATCCAGAATAAAGTACATACATTCATTGTGATACAAAACCAAGGCAATTCATCATCATTTGAAGATACCATCTCTTGGGTCTTGACTTCTCCAATCATCAAGTTTCTTGACTTCTCCAATCATCAAGTTTCTTAACTCTACTCATCTTCTTCAACCTAGATAACTATGGCTTCTTCTTCCAGCAAGAAAAACTCTAGAATCTCTTCCTCAAGTCACCGATCGACACTTTCCCTTCATAAGACTGAAATAGTCATTAATGTTTACGATCTCCTTCCTGTAAGTATTGATATGATAAGTTCATGGTTTGACAGTTGCTGACACGGATTTCGCGATTAGGCAGGCAAACTTTCTTCAATCCTTTGGAGCTTTGGTACGTCCTTACTGCATAGTGGGATTGTTATAAATGGCAGAGAATACGCATTTGGAGGACACGATAAAAAGGGAAACACGGGGGTATATTGGCAGACCCCAAGAGTAGAACCACCTGGAGGAACTTTCAGATGCGAGATTGTCCAAGGATTCACATTCTCTCCTCTGGCTGAAATCGATGCCGTTATCAAGGAGGCTTCAGCTATCTTCCAAGGAACATCATATAATCTCCTCACAAGAAATTGCAACCACTTCACTGCATACATGTGCGAGAGACTTACTGGTCAATCTGGGCCACCATGGTTGAATAGAGCTGCCAGTATCGGAGTCGCATTACCGTGCATGGTTCCCAAACAATGGATCACACCTCCAGACTACGAAACTGCAGATGGGGAGCTTGTTGATGAATACCATGATGAGCAGGCTCTATTGAGCAGCGCAAGACATAGCATGGATGATGGGCGACCAGATTTACGCGATGATGAGACAGAATGGAGTTGTGATGAAGATTATCAGGCCAGAAAAGGAAAGGGAAAAGATGTCAGAGACACATCAGGCAGAGTGGTTCCCCTCTCAGAGAGGGCACCTACGGCCAGGAGATAAATTGTGTTTGGAGTGGAGGGATATATGGGTACAGGCTTTTTCAGGCGTTTTCGGCAAAGGATAAGGAAGGATAGGAAGGACCGGCGCCAAGGGTTCATTTTATGATACCATTTTATGATGCCATGATTTCTCTATTGTACAGATTTACACATCATATTGCAATTATGCACAGCGGTCTTTTTACCACCATAATTCCCCATTTAACCCAATCTTCTTGGCTTCTTACTTCTCGTACCACCAAACTTCAATCTTGTAGCATCTGTAACTTTGACGACCTTTCCTCTCAACCATCTGCCTTCCGTACCCAAAAGAGCCTTAGTAACAGCCTCTCTCCCCGCACCAAATCCTCTCAGAACTAACTCCAACTTGTGGATATCACGACCAATAGCCCTCTCATGAATCTGCGTCATCACCAATGAAGCCAATTGGAAAGCCGAATCATAGTGTTTCCTCCCCGAGTGCCTGAAACCAATATTTCCACACGATAATGAAATGATCGGTTCGCGATTTGGTCTTGTGAGTGTGATATGGGTGTTATGTCTTGTAGCATAAACGTGAAAGTGATGCGGCTCCTCCTCAACGATTCGTTCCCCAATCAAATTTCCATCCGAAGGCAGAGTCGTATCCAGTAAGCCCGGTCGCTTTCGTTCTTGCTTATTTAGCATCATCATGTCTTTGAAAACGCTAGTTATGCCCAAGTTTCCTCCTGCTGCTGCCGATCTGGTAGCCTTTGGATTCAGCGAAGAGGATCTGGCAGCCTTGGCTCTAGCTAGCAGACCGGCAGTTCCACCGGTCTTCAGGGTTGAGTGATTGTGAGGTACATAATCGGGAAGAGGCTTGTTGTCGCCCTCAGCTTTCTGATTTGGTGTACTTGAAAAAGGTCGCAAACATCGGAGGGGTAATGTTTGAGTGGCATTCGCAGATTCGGAAATGGAGGCGAAAGGCGATTGAGCCAAGACTCGCCGTGAAAGAGTTCGACTCATGATTGAATGAATATCGAAATCTGGGGATTCAATGTTGCAGTACTGGTGGCTTTGATATCAAAATCTAGTCGAAAGTTGAATTCGGACTGGGTTGTTCCGCTTCGCTCACTAACCCTTGCAGCCTTGAAATTTTGTCAATCGGAGAAAATGTTCAAATCGCCGCCATTCAATGATAACCTTGCGAAACCAAATTTATCTCAAGTCCTGTATCTTTTGAAGTAGCCTTTTAATAATTTATACTCTCCTTCTCAGTCAATATGAACGGGCTACGAACAGCGGCGGCGAGGACGCCCACAAGTAAACAGATTTCTCTGTCTTCAATCGCGAGGCCCTCATCCAATGGCTCCACCCTTCGTCGCCAGATCATTCAACAAAGTCGAAATTTACAATTTTCTACAGTGGAATCTTCGAGACCTGCGACTCTTTCATATCCTGCGCCTTTGCGATCACGATTCCTTCCAGAAGAAATTAGATCTGTAGTATACCCAGCATCCTCGCGGCATTTCCATGAAAGCTCGAGACTAAGCAAAGAAAAGAAGGCAAATCCAGCAGACCCAGCAGACCGAGCAGCAAAGGAAGAAGCTACAGAAGAAGAGCCTAGTAAAAAGGAATCTGCTAAAGACTCAGAATCTACTTCCGGAGAGGATAAGACCAAGAAAGAAGGAGAGGGCAGTGAAGGCAAAAAAGAGGGATCCAAAGAGGCCCCTCCACCCCCACCACCCCACGGAGACAAAACTCCATGGCAAGTCTTCACCGAAACCCTGCAAAGCGAATTCAAGGCATCAAAAGAATGGAATGAATCTACCAAGCAATTGGCCGAAGGTGCCCACCAATTTACAGAGAACGAAAATGTCAAGCGTGCCAGGCAAGCTTTCGAAACTACCACTGGAGCAGTAACCTCGACAACAGGCAAAGTTTTAAAGACTACTGCAGGCGCCGTTGGTAAGGGAGCTGCTTGGACTTGGGAAACTCCAGTTGTGAAGGGTGTGAGAACTACTGTTAATGCTACAGCCAATGTACTTGACAAGGCGACACAACCAATCCGACAAACGGAGGCATACAAGAATGTTAAGAATGTGATTGATGATGGCAGTAGCTCGAGGTATGGTGGATGGGTTGAGAAAGAAGAGAGGCGGAAAGCAAGAGAGTTGCGGGAATTGCAAGAGGGTTCTACTGGCAAAATCAAGGAGGTCCCAATAGAAGATCCTAAGTAAGTGACATCTTCACCACATCAATCTCCACATCTAACAATTGCAGCGCCGGAACAAATGTCACCCTACACAAAGATTCAGCATACAAAGAAGCTTGGAGAGATTTCCGCGACTCAAATCGTGTCATGCAATCTTTATTCTCTATGAAAACCGTCTATAACGAATCCGAAAATCCATTGATCTCAACTGCCCGCAGCATATCTGATCGAGTTGCTGGTTTCTTCGCCGAAAACGAGACCGCCCAAGTAATTAAGAAATTCCGCGAAATGGACCCCTCCTTCCAAATGGAACCTTTTCTCCGCGAAATGCGCGAATACATTCTTCCCGAAGTTCTCGATGCATATGTAAAAGGCGATACCGAAACCCTCAAACTCTGGCTTTCCGCAGCCCAATTCTCCGTCTACGATGCTCTATCAAAACAATACACAACTGCTGGTCTCAAATCTGATGGCCGCATTCTCGATATCCGACATGTTGAAGTCCTGTCGGCGAGAATGTTAGATAATGATATTCCAGTCTTTATCATTACTTGCAGAACCCAAGAAGTCCACGTATATAGAAACGCAAAGACAAATCAATTAGCTGCCGGTATGGAAGATAAGGTACAATTGGTCACCTATGCAATCGGTGTTACAAGAGTGGCGGAAGATGTTAATAATCCAGAGACGAGAGGTTGGAGACTCATTGAGTTGCAGAAGAGCGGAAGAGATTACATATGAGAATCTTTTCTTTATCTCTCTCTTCACTTTCTGTCTCGGCGTCAGGCTCACAAAAGCTTATATCCTCTCCCGTCTATTTCTTCACTATCTTGTAGCATAGCGCTCCCAATCTTCCTCCATCATAAAAGCAATCCATCCCTTCATATTTATCTGGGTCCTTATTTCAACCCATCGATTATATAAATTCACAACTCCTCCTCTTGTACATCATCTCACACTACATCACATCACAACACACAACCAAAAAGCACCCCCTTCAGTTCCAAAGGAGTTCCAGGAAGCGAGGGACTCACATTTCACCGATTGACAAGTTCCTTGTCAAAAGCGTGTGTATTAATGAAATCAAAAAACTTTTATCTATTTGTTCGTCTTGTCTGAACTAAGCTTCGACGATACCTTTTACGCCACTCTTACGATTTTCAATGCATAGTGAAGGGAGAAAGGAGGAGAAAGAAAGAGGGAGAGAGGGAGGGAGGGAGGGAAGGAAGGAAGTTGATAAAAGATTCCAAAAGAAAAGTCCTTCACATACTGATGGATGAAGGAAGTTTGTTCATATACTGTACAATTAACGATCGAATCGAATGTATATCGGAATCAATGGAATGGCAGATTAAAAACTAGAGATATTTATCATCATACATTGTTCTTTGTGCTTTTCTCCTCAACAGCTAGCAGCTTGAAGCTGTCAGATATTTGACACTAATTAGTCTATCTAATACGTAAAGCTATGGTACAACTAACAAGATAGATATAGCTAAAACTATCTTTAAAACATGCTTAAACGTCAGTACTGATACGTTGTTCGATATAAGTATGAAAAAGCAATTGCACAACCCAAGCCTCCAAAAATAACCTCATCATCCTCATCCTCCACAACTCCTCCCTAAACATCATCAGCAAACCTTACACCCCCCTTCCCTTTTCCTTTTCCCTTTCCCTTCCCGCATCCTTGTGCCTCTCCATCTCCATCTCCATCTCCACCCTCACTTCCGCTCTGCATTCCTCCCCCCTCTTTCTCAGTCAAACTCAAACTCAAACTCAAACTTACACTTCCCTCTCTTTCCCTCCCACCGCTCTCAAAACTTCCCGATTCATCCATTCCCATCCTCAAGTTTGCATCCATACTTCCACTTCCCCCCATCCCCTCCTCCCCACCCCCCTCTCCCTTCTAAGCAGATTCTACAGCACGACTCCTAATCCTCCACTGTCTCCTCTTCCCCCTCATCAGTCCCCCTTCCATATACATTCTCCTTCCTCCACTTACGAAATTTTCTGTCTGTGCCTGCCCCCGCATATCCCCATCCCCATCCCCATCTCCATTCAAACTCAAACGCATATTCCTCCCCAACGAAACCGGCGGTCCCCTCTCTTTCTCCCTCTCCGACATAACCGGTACCCCGACCCCCAATTCCGGTCCTATCAATCCGCCTACCATCGCCATAGGCGTTGGTATTCTTTCTCTCCTCTTAAAATCCCCTCTCCCCTCATAGCGCATCCCCTCTCTCGCGGGCGCACTGACTCTTCTTTTCTCCTGCGCAAAATTCTTCAAAATCCCTTTTCTTTCTCCTGGCTTGGGGGTTCCAATTGCAACTCCATCTCTGTTTACCGACGGATATCTAATCAAACTATTCGTTCCATTTTCACTTCCTCCATCTCCCTCCCTCACAACGATAATTGTATCCTGTGAACCAGTACCCGCACCGTCTAACTCAAGACTAACACTATTGCCGCTTGGTTCACTTTTCGAGTGAATTCTTCGGTCTCTCTGGGGATATTGAGCATGCGCTACTGATTGTGCTGTGGTAGGAGTTGTCATATCATCTGACATCTCACTCTGAACACTGTTTGAAATATCTGTGTAAGATTCCACGGTTCCATCTGTAAAACCATCAAACCTACTTGTTCCCGGCTCGTTAACAACTATATGATTAGTATCCATCTCACTAGTAGTAATATCCGTCGTAGTAGTACCATAACCAGCGATCCCTATTCCACACACCATCTAATCAGCTAGAGCTTAAGATACGACGATTTCAGAAAAATAGAGAAAACAAATATCAAAGAAGAAGAACATACCATCTTCATCACCAGCAGCAACAGCAGTACCAATACCATGTTTCTTCAATTTCTTTTCCGCCCTTCTTCTGATACTATCTTCCTTCTTTCTCAACGACTCTGCTTTCCGCTCTTCCTTGTCTCTTTTTCTCTGTTCTTTGGCTGCCTCTTTAGTTTGTACTTTGACTGGTGTTGCTGACTGGACGGAAGAGGTTTCGATAATGGGAGCTGGGGACACGGCATTGACTAACTCGCTGAAAGTTCGTGAGGAAGAACCTGATTTTCTCCTTTCTTTTGCTAGTTGTTTCTTCTGTGCTTTGATGATGTCTCTGGGGGAAGAGAAACTGGGACCGGTATAGATGGGCGAATTTTTCGAAGCGAGTAGTGGAGTAAGCTCAGAGACAGCGGCGGCATTTCCAGGGCTTTCTGCGGCGGAAGCTCTACGTTGTCTTTCCTGAACTGGTTCATTTGTCAAATGTTTTGGAAGTTGGACAAACATTGCACCTCTGGGTAATCCTTTAGGCAGTCCTTTCGGCAAACCTTTGTCCAGTTTCTCCACCTTATCTTGTACATTCCCTTCGCTTTTGCCACTATCTAGCCCATCATTATCTTCCTTACATCCGTTATCGACCTTCTCGTGCTTCAAATCAACACTCTTTAGAGCTGACTGAGAAGAGAGCATCGGGTGTGTAGATAAAGGTGTTCGACAAGGATGTTCCTCTCCCCACGGATTCGGGTGATCAAGCACATTCTTTGCATGAATCGGGACGGGCAAATTTCCAGTAGAAAAGAGAGATCTTGGCTGACTCAAGATTGGTGGGCGAGGAGGGCTCTCGGGTAGATGGGCTTTACATGCTTGTTCAATTGATTGGGTTGTAAAGAATTTGTGTTGAGGACTAGAAGGACGAGAGGTTGTAGCATAAGGATTGGCAATAGTAGGACGAGCAGTGGCGGCGGGTGGCTGAGGGGTGGTGGCAGGCCGATGAACAGGAGTTGGTCGAGGAATTCCCCCAAGAGGCTGCTGCCTAATTTGAACCTCCAAGTTACTTGAGGGGAACTTTGGCTTACTGAGATTAGTAATTTTGAGTTTCGAAGAATCTGTCTTTGAGAGTAGGTTCGCATGGTAGAGTTCGTCTGCTTTGCGCTTCGATTCCTGAGTATGTCAGATAAAGTCACCCCAAAATTCTGCCTGCTCGTTATGCATTACATAAGTTTTATTGTTAGATGTGTATAAAGTTCACAAAGGTGCAATGTCCATACTACCACACTGTGGTTGGTATCAAGGTTTACCACGGTGATATACAGTAGCATTGGATATATATTTATTAAATGTTTTAGTGCAGATTCAAACGCCACCTAAGCAAACTTGCTATTTTTCCATGACCTCCCGTATGCGATTCTATATATTCAAAACTTTTGAGGTTTAGCTTGATCCATCACTTACATCTTTTGGTTTAACACTGGAGCTCGTGCCGTTGTCAACCCCGTTTCCATCGTCCTGTGAGTGGTTGTGATCTTTGACCCCTTTTGCTGCTGTCGCAAGGGTGTCCGTCTTGTCTTCGGTGGTGAGATCATTCAAGAGAGTTGCATCCTTTTTTGCAGGGCTCTTTGATCTGGACTTGGATCTTGATTTCCTGTCGGAAGGTTTGACGAAGATTTGCTTTGCCCATAGGTCTGCATATCGCCCCTTGGAGTGAAACAACTTATCATGAGATCCTTGTTCGACTATTTGACCATCCATGACAACAACAATATGGTCGGCATTCATCACAGTTGACAATCGATGACTAATAATAGTTAGCACAAAACAAATATGCTTTGCAGATAGGACGAAACTCACGCAACAATAAAGGTTGTTCGACCCTTGCACAATGCGTTGAATCCTTCCTGAATTTTTTGTTCCGTCTCTGTGTCAACAGCGCTGGTAGCTTCATCGAGTAGTATGATTTTTGGTTGTTTTAAAATGGCACGAGCAATCGCAACACGTTGTTTCTCTCCACCGGAAAGTTTTACGCCACGATCACCAACTTTAGAATTATATCCATCCGCAAATTTCATTATCTTGTCGTGAACGGCAGCAGCTTTACAAGCCTCATATACTTCCTCGTCTGTTGCGTCCAAACGAGCATATCGAATGTTATTCATGACGGTATCATTGAAAAGAGTTGGATCCTGTGGAACAACACCAACATGGCTGCGCAGACTATAATTCTATGTCAACAAGCGTACTGAGTATTTGAATCATCTTCTTACCTGTGCATTGTAATGTCTCGAATGTCTTGACCATCAATCTTGATACTTCCTGATTTAACGTCGTAGAACCGATCCATCAATTTTAACATGGTTGATTTACCTCCGCCAGTCTCACCAACAAATGCAATCGTCTTTCCACCCGGAGCAAAGAAACTAACATTCTTCAAAATCTGCTTTCGCTCATCGTAGGAAAAGCATACATCGTTGAACTCAATCTCGCATTTAGTAATCTCTAAGTCTTTGGCATTCGGTGCTTCTTTGATCGAGGGCTCTGTCTTGAGTAGTTCAAGAAGGCGCTCGGCATCGATCAAAGAGCTAGAGATAGTTCTGTATGCGGAAGCAAGGAATGATAGTGGTTCTGAGTTGAGGTTAGTATGCATGCACATACTGAGGACCTCGACAAAGTCATACCTTGTATTTGCCCCCAGAACATAAGCAAAGTAGTGAAATTTCCAACGGTTTGACCTTCATATACTACCGAATAAGCACCAAGACAGAGTACACCTGTCAGTCCAAAGCACATAATCAGGCTCTTTGCCATGGAGGCAATGTACCAGAACCATTCATAGGCCCATTTGGAATCAATGTGTTCTTTGATGACTACAAGGAGTTAGTCAAATAATCAATCAAGCCTGAAAGTCGTATACGTGGGTAAATTTACCTCCAGAGTAGCGTTCATTCTCGTAGGGTAC